CGAGGCGCAGAAAGGTTGTTAAACTTGCCTGAGGCCACACAGCTAGTGAGTGATGGAGCCAGCATTTAACTCGGGTGTCTGGCTCAGAACCCACACCTGTCACCACAACACTTGGCTGCCTCATTCCTGTGTGTCCCAGGAATATAACCCATAAGTAGATGTCATCAAGGGTCTACAACTCCTGCTCCTGGGGTGATAAAAAAGGGATCACAACCCCTGCTCAGTAATATGGCATGCTTTCGAGTAATATGAAACAAAGGATTTGCATGGGAGTATCTGTTTCCTATTGCTGCTATAACAAATTATAACACAAAGCCCCACAAATTTATAACCTCACAATTCCCTAGTCCTACATGGCTTTTACTGGGATAAAATCAAGGTATTGGCAGAGCTGCAGTCCTTTCTGGAGGTTCCTTTGCTGGTGTTTCCTTCCAGGCCTCGATCATAGGCACACTTTCTGTGTCCATCCTCATTTTCAGCTTGGAGGTCCAGCTGAAACAATGGATGATGCCTGTTCTCAGCTGAGGGCTGTCCAGGATTCATCTGCCTCAGAAGTGTGAAAACTTTGCCTGGCCTCTCTCCTCTGAAATTCCAACCTGGGTACATCCAAATAACCGAGGAAGGGAGTAGTGCAAAAAAAAAAAAAAAAAAAAAGGGAGGTACCCCTAATGTTGGTGGCAGGTCCTGAAACCGCGAGAGGTAATGTTGGGGTGGTGCTGGTGCACACGGTGTTGGAGTTGGCCAGAGAAGAGTGAGAACCCTGGCTCTGCCACTTCCCAAATCCTCTCTGTGAAATGGGCTGATCATAGTACCTTTTAATTGATTTCAGAGGGGCAGGGAGAGGGAGAGAGAGATAGGAACATCAGTGATGAGAGATTGAGCCTGCATCCCGTGCATGTGCCCTAGACTGGAATCAAAGCCAGGATCCTTCTGTCCTTAGGCCAGCACTCTATTCACTGAGCCAAACTGGCTAGGTCTGCTCATAGTTCTTTTAGCTTCAAGAACTCTCGAAAGAAGTAAATGAGACTGCTAGTGCTGTGCCTGGCACACATCCTCATGAGAACTTTGTGAGAATTAAATGAGTACACACATGTGAAAAGCTAACCACCAAAAAAGTCTTATTCTTCTAGACTCTTCCTGGGTGACTTAACTTTAAGAACTGTATTTCTACTTCAAGAGCGCTATCTGCTGATTTTCTTCCGAGTCCTAGATCTAATGGCTTCAGTGTACAACAGGACTTTCCACTTGGAAGACTTAGAAGGTCTGCTCATGTTCTGGACTTTTGTGGATATTTGATAGCTCTGCCTAAAAAGCCAGCTGTTATTGGAGGGGCGGGGGGAGCCTTTTACTTGGTTTGTGTGCTTTGGGTGGCAAAGAATAGAGACTCATGAGGCAGCCTCAAGTTAGAAAAGCTGCAGGAGGCCCGGCACGGGGCCAGGTCAGGCTGGAGTTTCAGCTTTGTTGGCTGGGTTCTCTTTCCTGCAGGCTCTTGGGCAGCCTTCCCCTGGGAGCAGGCCTCACTCCTGACTACTCAGCTGCCCCAGGGGATAAGTTGGGTGACTGCATATGGCCCCAAGGTCTTAGGGTGGCTTCCCTTGGAGCACCTGGAGCTCAGCCATTTGATGGTGGGCCCTCAGCGGCAGGAGTCTCTCTTCCGCGGAAGCTCATTCCGGAAGCATTGGCTTTGTGTGCTCCTCCCCGCACCAGCTCAAACACCCTGGGCTTTGCGACGCCTCTCCACCTCATTAGTCATTTCCCTTTTGCTCCATCGCGTCCAAACACAACATATTGTAGTTGTTGATGTCCAGAGCTGGTTCTCCAACTCAGCTGTCCGCTAGCCAGGCAGGGAGTATTGTTCACATTCGTATCGCCGCCACCGAATGAGCCGTCCTCGCTACGATTGCTGAGTGAATGGCACAGGAGCATCTTCAGCACTTCTTGGTGGGGGTCATTCTCCTCCCGAGAGGTGCGGGGGACTCTCCACATGGTCCTCTCTCATGGATGTTCCTACCTCTTTATCTCCTCGCCCTTATTCTCTAAAAATCAATAAAAATATTTTAAAGTAAATGAATAATATTTTTTAAATATATTTTATTGATTTTGTACAGAGAGGAAGGGAGAGAGAGAGAGAGTTAGAAACATCGATGAGAGAGAGTCATCGGTCAGCCGCCTCTTGCACACCCCCTACTGGGGATGTGCCCGCAACCAAGGTACATGCCCTAGACCGGAATCAAACCCGGGACTTTTCAGTCCCCAAGCCGACACTCTATCCATTGAGCCAAACCGGTTTCGGCATGAATAATATTTTTTATAATTAAAAATAACATGGGTTTTGAAAAATATTTTTAAAATTCTGAATGTGTAGAGTTAAATGTTAAATTTCGCTTACTTCTTTTCCAATCCAATACACATAGGCGAACACCAGTAAAATTTTAAAAATATTTTTATTGATATATAATTCAGATATCATACAATTCACCCATTTAAAATGTACAGTTCAGTGTTTTTCAGTATATTTCTAGGGATATGCAACCATTACTACAACCTAATTTTAGGACATTTTTGTTTCCCCAAAAGAAACTCTTATCAACTGTCACTTCCCATCACCATCTCTCTCCCAGCCCTAAGCAACCACTGATTATCTTCCTGTCTCTAGAGATTTGCCTATTCTTTGACATTTCATGTAAGTTAATCATATAATATGTGGTCTTTTGTGTCTGGCTTCTTTCACTTAGCATGTTTTTGAGGGTCATCCATGTTGTAGTATGTATCGGTACTCCCTTCCTTTTTATTGGTAAACTAAAGGCCCAGTGCACAGATTCGTGCACTGGTCAGGGGTGTGGCCTGCAGGGATTGGCCTGTTGTGGGAGTGCCACTCATCCTGGTCAGCCTAGTGGCGCTCCCACTGTGGGAGCACACTGACCACCAGGGGGCAGCTCCTGCATTGAACATCTGCCCCCTGCTGGTCAGTGTGTATCATAGCGACTGGTCAACCAGTCATTCTGCTTGCTCTGCTGTTGGGTTGCTAGGCTTTTATATCTATAGATAGCATTCCACTGTATTAATAAAGCACATTTTAAAAATCTAATCCCCTGTCACTATTAACAGTTTAATACAACTCACATATTTTTTCAGATTGGGTTTGAATCCCTGCTGAACAAGTTACTAGATGAGTGACCTTAGGTAAATCATAATCTTTTTAAAAATATATATTTTTATTGATTTCAGAGTGGAAGGGAAAAGAAGAGAGAGAAAAAAACATCAATGATGAGAGAATCATTGATTGGCTGCCTCCTGCACATCGCCTATTGGGGATCATGCAACCTGGGCATATGCCCTTGTCTGGAATAGAACCTGGGACCCTTCAGTCTGCAGGCCAATGCTGTATCCCCTGAGTCAAACCAGTTAGAGCAAAAATCATAACCTAAGCCTGCCTCTGTTTCCTCAATAGTAAATTTTGAATAACAATGGAATTTACCTCATATAATGTCATCGTTGTATTGTCACAGTAATTAATATTTGTTGAGCACTTAACTATATACTAGGCATGTTGTAAGGATTACCTAATAGCTCTGATTTTCAGATTAGGGAATTGAGATTAGGAGAGGTTAAGCAATCTCCCCAAATCAAACAGTCCCTATGAAAATGATGGCGGTAAACAGAATCACAGGCTGACCAATTGCATAGCCTCCACAATATTCTGGAATAATGAAGTGCTTAGCAAGAACCTTGCAAAGAGAATGAGTTTAGTATATAATAATGGATAGAACTTTAGCAAAGGAGAAAAAATTACCAATTAACTCATCTAAAGACACCCACCACTTAATATTTTGACACATTTCCTTCCAGTCTTTTTTTTTTTAAACAGGCACTAGTCTTATTTTTTTAAAAATATATATTTTTATTGATTTCAGAGAGGAAGAGAGAGATAGAAACATCATTGATGAAAGAGAATCATTGATTGGCTGCATCCTGCATACCCCACACTGAGGATCGAGCCCACAACCTTGGCATGTGCCTTTTACCAGATTGACCCTTTATCCACTGAGCCAAACCGGCTAGGGCTTCCTTCCAGTCTTTAGGTAATATTTCAAACACACCAAAAAAAAAAAAAAAAATCCAGAAGATAACAGATATCAAACTTTCACCCCTGCTTTATAAAAATACATAAAAATTTGGTTAGGTAGCTCTACCTCCCAAAATCTTAGGTATTTTATTCCCTTTGTGTTATTTTTCTTTACACAATTAGGGTCACACCACATCATTTCCTACCTTTAAAAATCCTATCTTGAGCATTTCCTCAACATACCAAATATGCCCCATGACTCTTCATGGTAGCATACAATATTATATTGTATGACTGAAACATTATTTACTCCCTACTGTTAGGCATTTGGGATATTTCCGAGCAAAAACATATCACTACACGTCATCTTTCAAAGAACCTGATAATTCCCTTTGGATAAATTCCTAGAAAGGCCAGAAGGTCAGGGACTGTCTGATGTTAAAGGTCTTTATGCCTACTTTTTTATTTTTCCAAATAGCTCTCAAAGAAGAATGGGAACAGGGAGAAGGTCGGTTAGGATTATTATTATTATTTTACCTTTTAAACCTTTTTATTAACTTATAACACACACATAAAAGTGGACATAAGTGAACATCTCTCTGAATTTGCAGCAAAAAACACACCGAGTGCCCAGCACTCAGATCATGAAATAGAACATTCCCAGCGGCCCTGAGCCGCCTCTTTTCCAGCGCATCACTGCTCTCAGAGGGGCTGGGCTTTCACAGGGCTATTAAGGAGATGACGTCTTTGGAACCTTAGTGTATTAACATTTTGGCATATCCTAGACCACGGAACTATAAGCTAAGTCCTGCCTGCAAACGCTAGTCAAGCTGAAGTCCAGCTGGGCGAACAGCAAGCCCAGGGGACAGCCGGGGAGGCGGGGCGCGCACCACCGCGATCCCGCCGGGTCCTCCAGACTCCCGGCGTGCAGCGCGGCGGACCCGGCGTGCACCGCGGCGCTCGGAGGCGGAAGCGGCAAGGTGTGCTGCGCCGACGGCGGGAGCGAGGCTCGTGGCTTGCAGGGGCGGCGCGACGGGGTCGGCATGGAAGTGTGAGTCACCCGGTGCGCGTTCCGGCTGTCCGCCGAGCCTCACCGCGGGGGACGGGACGGCCAGGAGCTGGGAGCCGAGAGGCGTGGGCTGGGCGGCCTCGCGGGCGGCGTGTGGGGAGGGCCACGTGCAGGGGGGCGGGGCAGAAGGAGACGCGCTCTGCCCCTCTGAACCGCCGTCTGCACTCCCATCCGGTGCCCGGTGCCTTTCAGTGAGCCTGCTCCCCCTCATTCATCTGCTGGCGTGCCGAGGGCGCAGGGGTGATCCCGGCCTTCTCCGGGCCTTGGGCCCTGGAGGTTCCTGGAGGAGAGAAGGATCCTCTTGGCGGGGCGGGGGGCTGGGAGCCGTGACTGAGGAGGTGCTCTCCCAGCGTGTGGAGGAGCCGCGAGCTCTTCAAGGGAAGGGGCGGGTTTTCTGGGAGGAAGACTGTGCTTGGGCCCCGTTGTGACCGCAGACCCGGAGGCTGAGTGTGTGAAGGGGGAGTAACAGTCGTTCCAGCAGTTTAACCCCACATGCTCTTTTCCATGTTGGCTCGTCGTATTGCATGCAAATGGAAGTTTTTTGTTTTTTTTTTATATAGGCATAACGATATTGTGTTTGTCTTTGGCACTGATAATTGAATACTCAATATTTTATGTTCTTTTGCCTCATACTTAATGGTCGTGTGCACTACTATTTTTCACACTTAACAAAAATACACATCCAGCCGAAATCGGTTTGGCTCAATGGATGGAGCGTCGGCCTGCGGACTGAGGGGTCCCGGGTTCGATTCCGGTCAGGGGCATGTACCTTGGTTGCGGGCACATCCCCAGTAGGGGGTGTGCAGGAGGCGGCTGATCGATGACTCTCTCATCGATGTTTCTAACTCTCTATCCCTCTCTCTTCCTCTCTGTAAAAAAATCAATAAAATACTTTAAAAAAAAAATACACATCCAATATGTATATGTGCCTGAAGTGAAAGCTTCATGAAACAGTCTTATGAACGCTCTGATGCTATCGTGTCAAACCTACGCAAGAAGAGGAGGCTTTGGCTAGAAACAAATGACAACGATTTACTTAAGGTTTTTAGAGGTTGCTAACTGGAAAACCTGGAAGGGTTCCCAAGAAGAAAGGAAAGTTAAGTTCTTACAGTAAAAGTCATATCCTTGAGAATAATCAGTCCTGCCTTCTTAACCCTGGGATTGGCCCTGCACTGTTATCCAGATGTCACGTAATCCGAGAATGGTTGCCAGGAGGTCTGGTCCTGAGTCCTGGGGGTAGTCAGAGGGTTATCGGCTGGCTGGTTTGATATATGTCCATGAGCTCAGGCAGCCGTGAGCCCCAGAGTGCAAGTCTATGAAGGCGGGGCCAATATCTATTCACTTAATGCTTAGCATGGCATCTGGCAGAGTAGACATTCAGCAAATTCTAGTTGACTAAAGTAATATGATGATACTTCATTAGTTTAATAAGTACAAATTAGCTCGCTTTCTATATAATTGCTAGCATATTAATTTTCTGATTTTTCTAAGTGAAATTGTTTGATTCAAGGGATTTTTCTCTTATAAGCATCTGCTCTTCCCAAGGAGTCTTTGACTTACGAGGCTAATCAAGAATTTTGAAGCTAGCAGTTTATGGGAAAGCTGAGTTTTTCTGAGGTAGACATGTGATTTGAGCATAGAAGGATCCCTGAAATGGAAAGGTCTAAGGGCCTAACTTCTAGTTGCTGTCATGCCTCCAGCGTGAGGTATGACTTCTGGCAGCGTGGTGCTTGGATCTTCAGTAGAACCCTGAGTCTCTGAGAGGCAAACATACTATACTTCTAGGTTCTGGAGCAAGAAGACACGAATGGAAAACTCCCCTGAGTTATTACTACTGTTTTTTCTTCAGTCACTGAGTAAATACCTACTGAGTGAATAATACATAATAGACATTCACTAGAAATTTTTTAAAGGTGAGGAATGTTTATGCTTTTATTTGGTTGAATGACAGATTTTTTTATTAAATTATTATCTGTTTACATATTTTAACATTGCCCCCCCTCCCATACATACCCTCCCTCCCCAGAGTTTTGTGTCCATTGGTTGTACTTATATGCATGTATACAAGTCCTTTGGTTGATCTCTTATCTCCCCCAGATCTCCCTACTCTCCCCGCTGTAATTTTACAGTCTGCTTATTGCTTTACTGTCTTTATATCTGACTTTTGGTTTGTGAATGACAGATTTTTTTATTGTTAGAGAACTTAATATCCCTCTCATACTTGATAGAATTAATAGACAAAAATACAGATTTGTGTTACAGTGTAAATAATTTGACCTGGTTGAGGTCTATGGGATACTATTGTATATCCAGTTACTACACTATACACATTCTTTTTTTAAAATTTTTTTTATTGATTTTTTACAGAGAGGAAGAGAGAGGGATAGAGAGTTTGAAACATCGATGAGAGAGAATCTCGATCAGCTGTCTCTTCTTGCACACTCCCTACTGTGGATGTGCCCACAACTAAGGTACATGCCCTTGACCGGAATCGAACCTGGGACCTTTCAGTCCACAGCTGATGCTCTATCCGCTGAGCCAAACCGGTTTCTGCTGTGTTCACTCTTTTATTATTGAATTTATTACACATAGTTACAAAAATGGATGGTATTTATTTCTGTAGCACCTTGAAGATAGTGTAAAAATTTCCTTCATTTTATAGCTGGAAATACTGAGGCTTAAAGAAGTTAGCTAATAATGTAGGTCCTATAACACTTCAGTAACAGGACTGGAAAGAGGATATTTGTTTGTTAACTCCCAAAAGAATGCTACAAGTGAAATTGTTCATGGACTGCCACCCAGTTTTTTTGAACTAGACTTTAGTTTTCCAGAACATGACTTACATTGATAACATAGGTTGAACATAAGAGAATTTGAGCAATTCCATTCGTCACTGCTTTCATAAGAGTTAACTATGTGGCAATCAGTAGCACTGTTTGCATGGGCTTTTTGTGTGTGTTTCTAAGGAAAGTCTGCTAATAGATCATTTTGTTCTGTTTTTCAGAATTTGGTTTTACAAAGTAGTTGTTTACATCCATTGAATTGACTCAGCAAGTTAAGCAAATTGTACAGGTTAAATTTCAAACAGCAAGTCAACTTCAGTCAGTTAATTCATTACTTAAGGAAATTAAGTGACTGCCTGCCTGTAAGTATAGATTTAGATGGTCTTTAAATTTCACTTGGAATATTTGCTTTAAACACCTGTAAATAAATTCAGTAATATTCTAAGTCTGATAAGAGAATATGAAATTTTGTGTAGATTGGCAGTTTCATATGTATGCTTGTGAACATATTACATAATACTGAAATGTTAGCTATGGAGTAGACAATTCCTGCTTAGTAGGGATCAATAACTTGTAAATATGATTGACAGGTATGGATTTTAGTTACCTTAAAAAAACATTGGGGCAAAATGCATTTTATACCCTCAGTTATAAGTTATATTAATGTCTTTTTTTTTTTAACCACATGTAATTCTTTAGTTTTACATTTCCACTTTTCTCAACATGTTAACTTGAAAAATTTCAAACCCATAGAACAGTTGCAAAAAGAGCACCAGTCACTTTATATTTTTTACATAGTCATCATTTGTTAACATCTTGATATGAACCTCTGGTTTTGGTGATGCCAGTAGCACATGGATACTTAAACAGATACTGCATCCTGCAGACTCTGGCTGGCAGAAGCTGACTTACTCATTAATTCTTTAATAATAAGATAATGTTTTTAAACTCAGCTAATAGAGTAAATGCTAATATATGTTAAGCACTCCTTTATTCAATAAGTTATCAATGAGTGTATAATATCTACCTTTTATTAAGTCCTAAATGAACTATTTACCAAGAAAAAAATTTAAGGCTTTTTTTTTTTTCTGAAGAAGTTATTGTAACCACCACTAAGTGGCAGGTTGTAGGAAAGAGGACATAGTGAGATTTAACAAACATTAACTTACCAAGCTGTCTATTTAACACCACCAATAATGATGAGTTTAAAAACATTATCTTACTATTAAAGAATTAATGAGTAAATCAGCTTCCAAAACCAGAGGTTCATTAAAAAAACATGAGAGAGGCTTTCTGTCCTTTGGATATTGGTTCTAGAATAGGCTGATGGTGGTTTTTGGATTCTTGCATTACAATATTGACTTGGGCAATGAGGCATTAACTTGAAAGAGCCAGGAACAGATTTCCAAGGGGATGGACTATTTTGCATAATGATTTGGAAATGAAATTGTAACAGTGGCACCTGGGATGGATCCATTATCCTTGAGGAAAATAACAGTTGTATTTTTCCCAGTCCAGTTTGTTCCAGGCAGTGATATCATAGTTGTATTTTAGGGCACACAGGGAGTAGTAATTCAATTTCAAACAGAGATAGGGCTGATTTCCTGACTAAGTAGGCAATGATGACATATGATTTGATTTGTCATTTTCAATTTTAAAAGAACCAAATCACATATATTGATTATGCATTGTCCTTCCTGTGTTCCATTCCTTTTAAATATGATATTTGTGAGCTCATGGTTATTTGGGCCAAGCAGCACTTTTGTGAAATCTCAGCTATTTGTTGAATGAATACTTACCAAAATGTAGCATTTGGTAAGCTTCACAATGCTTATTTGATTACAGTGCTGACAGCATTGTGCTGATGACCAAGGCTTAAGTTAGATCCTTGTGTTAACTGCTTTACATATTGACTGGGGAAATCACCCATATGTTTGACCCATGTTTTTGAATTTTTTGTATCATCATTTTCACATATAGCCTCACTCCTGGTTTAAGAACATACAGTAGACTTTGTTGCACATTATGTCAAGCCCAAACTCCTTCCTGAAGTTTTAGAATTCTGCATTACTGGTTTCCATTTGTACAGTCCAGTCTTACTTTTCACAATTCCTTAATTATTGTCCACTTCAATTAAGCTTATTACTGTGTGACCTTAAGCAAGTTTTAAAATCTTTGAGCCTCAATTGAATCTATAAAGAAGAAATAATAGCTCCTGTATCACAGGTTTTTTTTAATGCAAATAAGTGAAATAACATTGGTATTTTTAAAATAATAGCCTCCATTTAGGGAGATCTTAATAAGTATCCAAAGTATGCTCTACTTCTAAAATTTGTTGTCTCTGCATCCTTATCATAGCTTTATGGGCTAGGATGAAGTTGTGGTGGTGGTAGTAGCACAGGTAGCGGTGATAATAGATGGCATAAAGTACCTCTGTTCCAGGTACTTTACATATTTCTATTTAGTCCTGTCAAACAATCTTATGAGATTGGTACTATAATTGCTATTTTATAGATGAGGAAATTTAAGCACAGAGAGAGGCTCAATAACTTGCCTAAGTTTATAGTGTACATAGTGAATGTATAGTGGAGCTGCACTTTTAGGTACCAGTTTAGCCCTATTTATTTATTTATTTATTTATTTAATTTTTTGTCTATTTGTTTTAGATGAGGAAGCTTAGAGGGGTCGATTAACTCACTAAAATTCATATACCTTATAAGTAGCTGGGCTATAATATGAATCCAGATTTGTCTGATTTAAAAACTGTTTATAATTATTATACTAGACTTTCTTTAGATTATCAAAAACAATAAATACTTTCTGTTGTTGTATCATAGAATGGGTCAATTTAATGCAAGTCACATCGCTGTGCTCATTCATAAATGAAAGATGATGTTTTACCTTGACTATTACACAGGGGAGCCAGGCTTTTGACCTATGCTTAACACATGAACTGTACCTGTTGACCTGAAATAGAAAATGAACATCTTTGTTGTAGTTTTGTTGATATCTGCCAAGATTTCTGACATTGCTGGAATTCCCAGTGGTGATGCTAGTGTTAAGGATCCCATTGCTGGCGATTCAGCAGGAGGACTTGGGCTGCCCAAGATGTCAGTAGCTGATGGAAGGTAGATGTACTGGGAAGAGGCCATGGCTGTGGGATGAGAAGCACATAGACTAGGGATAAGTAGAGTATTTTAATCACCTACCTGGTGATGGATGTGTGGTATACAATGGCTGTAAAAAGGAAAGTATGCTCTAAAATTGTCCATTATTAGTTAAACCAGTGGGACTTGGGGCATTTCTCCTAAAAGTTGTCCCTAAATTCCTGAACTGGACTACTGAATTTTTAAATTTTATTTTATTATTTTTTTTCTTTTTCTAAATAAATCTTTATTGTTCATATTATTGCAAATGTTCCTCATTTCCACCCCCCCTCCATTGCTCTCCTCCACCAGGTTCCCTCCCCACCCTCTGCCCTTTCCCCAACCCCCATTGTCCTCATCCATAGGTGCACAGTTTATGTTCAGTCTCTTCCCACATTCCCCTCTCTCCTTTTCCCCCGAGAATCATCAGTTCACTCCCCTTCCATACCTCTGATTCTATTATTTTCACCAGTTAATATTGTTCATCAGATTTTTTTTTTAATTCCCTTGGTTTTTAGATTCACTTGTTTATAGTTACGTATTTGTTGTTCATAGTTTTTTGTTTTTTGTTTTTAAATATATTTTATTGATTTTTCACAGAGAGGAAGAGAGAGGGAAAGAGAGTCAGAAACATCGATGAGAGAGAATCATCGATCAGCTGCCCCCTGCACACCCCATACTGGGGATGTGCCCGCAACCAAGGTACATGCCCTTGTCCCGAATCGAACCCGGGACCCTTGAGTCCCCAGGCCAACGCTCTATCCACTGAGCCAAACTGGTCCCGGCTGTTGTTCATAGTTTTTATCTTTATTTACTTTCTCTTCCGAAAGAACCTCCTTCAGCAATTCATATAATTCTGGTTTTGGCGGTGATGAACTCCTTTAGCTTTTTTTATTAGTGAAGCTCTTTATCCAGCCTTCGATTCTGAGTGATAGCTTTGCTGGGTAGATTATCTTTGGCTGTAAGTTCTTACTATTCATCACCTTGAATATTTCTTGCCATTCCCTTCTGGCCTGCATGGTTTCTGTTGAGAAATCAGCTGACAATCGTATAGGTGCTCCTTTAGAGGTAACTACCTGCTTTGTTCTTGCTGCTTTTAATATTCTCTCTTTGTCTTTTGCTCTTGGAATTTTAATTATGATTTGTCTTGGTGTGCTCTTCTTTGGATTCCTTTTGTTTGGAGTTCTTTGCGCTTCCTGGACTTGTAAGTCTAATTCTTTCACCAGGTGGGGGAAGTTTTCTGTCACTATTTCTTTTAGTATGTTTTCGATATCTTGCTCTCTCTCATCTTCTGGGACCCCCATAATTCTGATATTGGTTCCCTTGAAGTTGTCCCAGAGGTTTCTTACATTATCTTCAACTTTCTGGATTCTCTTGCCTTCTTGCTTCTGCGGAGGAGTGTCTTCTGGCTCTTTATGTTCCAAATCTTTGACTTGATTCTTGTGATCTTCCATTCTGTTTTTAGGACTCTGTATAATATTTTTTATTTCAGACAATGTATTCTTTATTTCTTGTTGATCCCTTATTATTTCTTGTTGATCCCTTATTAGTTCTTGTTGATTCCTTTTCATCTCCTCATAGGTCTTATCGACCTTTTCCAGGAAATTCTTGAAAAACCTTATAAGCGTAGATTTGAACTCTATATCCAGTCTCTTCTTTTCCTCCATTTCTTTTGTTTGTGATCTATTTACTTATCTCAGCATTTTCACAGCTTCCCTGAGTTGGTAGGGTGGCTTTGTGTGTTAAAGTGTCCTATATGGTTCAGTGAGTCAGCCTTCCAGTTACCTGAGGTGGACAGTCTTGGTGTAGCCCTTTGTGGGCTGTGTGTGCAGTCTTGTTGTTCTGGACTACTGAATTTTAAAAAAATTAATACAATTTTAAAATTCTTACCCTAGGATATTTTTTCCATTGATTTTTTTTTTTTTTTGAATGAAAGGGAGGAGGGAATGGGGGAAGAGGAGAGAGAGAAAGAGAAAGAGAGAGAAAAGAACATCAGTGTGCCGGGACCGGTTTGGCTCAGTGGATAGAGCGTCGGCCTGCGGACTGAAAGGTCCCGGGTTCGATTCCGGTCAAGGGCATGTACCTTGGTTGCGGGCACATCCCCTGTGGGGGGTGTGCAAGAGGTGGCTGGTCGATGTTTCTCTCATCGACGATTCTAACTCTCTGTCCCTCTCAATTCCTCTCTGTGTAAAATCAATAAAATATATTAAAAAAAAAAAGAAAAGAAAACATCAGTGTGAGAGAGTTACATCTACTGGTTGCCTCCCACACCAACTGAGGCTGGGGATCAAACCTGCAACCAAGGTATATGCCCTTGACCGGGAATTGAACTTGTGACCCTTTGGCCCTTGGGCCAGTGCTCTAACCATTGAGTCATACCTGCCAGGCTGGACTACTGAATATTGACAGAGGAATTATTACATAGATATTCACACAAAATGATTTGAACCCAGACTATGATAATTTACTTTTCTTTTGCAGGAAGGATGCCAATTCTGCGCTGCTCAGTAACTATGAGGTAAATAGCTTTGAAGTATTTTCCTCTTGATGGTTTTGTTCTTTGCTTTTGAAGATTATTGAATTAACTGTAGTTAGAAATGACTGAATTAATTTGGATTTTCCACTTTAAAAAATGACAGATGGCACTACCTTGTAACATCCTAAGCTTGGTAAATTACATTAATTCAGAAAACTGGGAAGACTTTAGTGTACAGTAGGTAATCTTCCCCAAATCTGAAAATTTTAGATCTTTATAGGGAAGGCTTCATGAAGAATAGAAGCATCTATTTTGGAACTCTTTCAACAAGTTTCTATTAAAATATATATGCTTTTTCTTAATTGCCACTCTTTTTATATATATATATTTTATTGAATTTTCACAGAGAGGAAGAGAGAGGGATAGAGAGCTAGAAACATTGATGAGAGAGAATCATCGATCAGCTGCCTCTTGCACACCCCCCACCGGATGTGCCCGCAACAAAGATACATGCCCCCGACCGGAATCGAACCCAGGACCTTTCAGTCTACAGGCCGACGCTCTATCCACTGAGCCAAACCGGTCCTGGCTTAATTACCACTCTTTTTTTTTTTTTTTTTAATATATTTAATTGATTTTTTACAGAGAGGAAGGGAGAGAGATAGAGAGATAGAAACGTCGATGAGAGAGAAACAAAAACCAGCTGCCTCTTGCACACCCCCTACCGGGGATGTGCCCGCAACCAACGTACATGCCCCTGACCGGAATCAAACCTGGGACCTTTCAGTCTGCAGACCAACGCTCTACCACTGAGCCAAACCGGTTTCGGCTTAATTACCACTCTTTACTTATAAAATACTTCTATGTCATTATTTTGATCCTCATAATAGTCTCATAAATATTAAAATCTTCATTTTGAAAGTGAGAGCTTAGTTGACTCACAATTATCATCAATACTGTAATAAGAACTAACAGATTGGGGATTTTGGGGCTGAGGAGTTGGATTGGGGAAAGGGAGGAAAGAAGGAAAGATGTTGGTGAGGGGGAGACATAACATTATTTTGCCTACCTTCCATTTTGCCTGGATCTTGTTTGGTACTAGTAAAATCATCTGATAGGTTAATTCCCGGTGTAGAAAGAGCCATTCATATGTACATTCATTGTCTATTTTTTATATATAAGAGTCTAAACTCAAAGACTTGTAGGAGACTTGGGTCTCCACTGTGTGATATATTAGTTTATCGAAGGTAGTTGAGTTAACACAGTTGGCCATATTCCTCTCTTTCCAAAGATTCATCTTAAATGGTTTCTGCTCATAACAGGAAGAAATAGTTGTTGGTTAAGCCATTGGCTTTTAGGAATTTCCTTTTCCAGTTTGAACTCTGCTATGTGTTTGGGTGTTTTATCCATTGGAGAAATATTGATTGCCTTAATTGGGTCTCATGCCACTATTTCTGAAAATGACAGGCAGGCAAGGAGTTGCATTGTATCTGGTAATGGCCTATGAATCTGTTAACCTATAATACTTCCCTGAATTTTCTGTAAAATCTCTAAAACAGGAGAGAGATATAATCTCCACACCCTTCTTAACACTAATACACATTTTTTTCCTCTTGTGGGGATACTTTACTTATTAAGTCCTATAGCATCCCCACCCCCCCCCCTTTTTTTAATCCTCATCTGAGGATATTTTTCCCAGTGATTTTTATTGAGAGTGGAATGGGAGGGAGGGAGGAAGAGAAGAAGAGAGAGAGCAAGAAACTGGGAGGTAGAGGAGAGAGTTGGAGAGAGGGAGAGAGAAAAAGGAAGGAAGAGAGGAAGACAGAGGGAGAGAGGGAGGGAGAAGGGAAAGGAGAAAAACAGCGACGTGAGAGAGAGACATCAATTTGGTTGCCTCCCATACAGGGCTAGAGATCAAATCTATAACCCAGGCACGTGCCCTTGACCATAAGTCGAACCTAAGACCCTTCAGTGTGCAGGCGCACACTATCCACCAAGCAGCACCAGCCAGGGGCCTCCTCCCCTCTTAAAACAATATTTCGGCACTTGCCCAAAATAAAGTATACTAGATTTTCATATTAGAGAGGTAGAATCCATTTATTTTTAATTTTTTAAAAAATTGATTTTATGGAGGAAGCGAGAAGCAGCGAGAGATAGAAACATCAGTGATGAGAAAGAATCACTGATTGGCTGCCTCTTGCACGTCCCACACTGGGGATCCAGCCCACAACCCGGGCATGTGCCCTGAAGTGGGAATTGAACCGTGACCTCCTGGTTCTTAGGTTGACGCTCAACCACTGAGCCATGCCAGCTCGGCTAGAATCTGTTCTTTTAAAAATTATTTATTTTAGCAAAATTTACTTTTAATACTCAAAATATTTTTGAGATCAGAAGTATGGTAGGAAACATTGAAATATTTTAAGTATACTAATGAATTTGAATTATTTGACAGATAAAAATATTTTTAAAAGGTCACATATTTCTTGGATTCATATTTGCTCTAATATTTGCAAGAGTTGGGGCGTACTATTTTGTTTTCTTCAAAATCAATGGCCTTGGAATAGATTTATTTTTTAAACTTCTCTAATTTAAAAATCTTTTGTATATTTCTCCCTAGGTGTTCCAGTTACTAACTGATCTGAAAGAACAACGTAAAGAGAGTGGAAAGAATAAACACAGTACTGGACAACAGAACTTGAATACTATCACTTATGAAGTAAGCCTAGGCTTTTGGAGGGTCTACCTAAACTATCTTTTTTGTTTTTTGTTTTTTTGATATATTTTATTGATTTTTTACAGAGAGGAAGAAAGAGGGATAGAGAGTTAGAAACATCAATGAGAGAGAAACATTGATCAGCTGCCTCCTGCACAACCCTACTGGCGATTTTCCCGCAACCAAGGTTCATGCCCTTGACTGGAATCGAACCTGGAACCTTCAGTCCACAGGCCGATGCTCTATCCACTGAGTCGAACCAATCAGGGCTCTTCTTTCTTTTTAAGATCAGAAAAGTTTTCTTCTGAAATTTCATTATTCTTTCTGTTCCAGTTACTGGTTTACTTTTTGAGGAATTCCTATTAATATGAAGATGGACTCTCCTGAGGCATTTGTTTTACAGAAGATTTTTGTAACAACATTGTAGAATACTAAATTATTTCTCATTTGGATTTGATTTTTTTTTTTTTTTTGTAGACATTAAAATACATATCAAAAACACCATGCAGTCACCAGAGTCCTGAGATTGTCAGGGAATTTCTCACAGCAATGAAAAGCCACAAGTTGACCAAGTAAGTAAAAATTACCATAAGGAGGAAGAATGACTCATAATGAAAATAACTTACAAAAGCCCCCTCAGAAACTATTTATATTTAGTTGGGTCTTGAATTCTAATTAACTGTGTTCTTTTTTATTTTATTTTTTATATATTTTATTGATTTTTTTACAGAGAGGAAGGGAGAGAGATAGTTAGAAACAAACTTACCGGGGATGTGCCCACAACCAAGATACATACTCTTGACTGGAATCGAACCTGGACCCTTCAGTTCATAGGCCAGCGCTCCATCCACTGAGCCAAACCAGTCAGGGCAGTATGTTCTTTTTTTTTTTAAACTGATTGAAGAGAAAGAGAAACATTGATTTATTATACCACTTACTTATGCGTCCATTGGTTAATTCTTTTGTGTGAGTGAGTGAGTGAGTATGTGTGTGTGTGTTAATCCTCACCTGAGAATATTTTTCCATTGCTTTCTAAAGAGGGTAGAAGGGAGAGAGGGAGCAGAGAAAAACATCAATGTGAGAGAGTATATTAATTGGTTGCCTCTTGCACATACCCTGACTGGGGCCAGGTTTCAAGCAACTGGATAGGCCTCATTGGTTGATTCTTACATGTGTTCTTACCAGAGATCAAAACTGCAATGTTGGCGTATCAGGATGACATCCTAACCAACTGAGCTACCCAGTCAGGGCCTCAATATGCTCTTTTAAAGTAATATTATGGTATTGGAGATGAGACAGCTGAGAATTCAATATAGGGATCCTTTTAGAGCCAGCAATAGAACATAGTGGGTTTTTTTAATCTCAAAAAAAAATTATTTTTAGTCCCAGTTCTATGATCTGTTCCATTACCCCTGTCAGTATTCAGACCAAATTAATTGAAAAATGGGGTTCACAGATTAAACTGCCTTTTTTTTTTTATAATATATTTTATTGATTTTGTACAGAGAGGAAGGGAGAGAGATAGTTAGAAACATCGATGAGAGAGAGTCATCGATCAGCTGCCTCTTGCACACCCCCTACTGGGGATATGCCTGCAACCAAGGTACATGCCCTTGACCGGAATCGAACCCGGGATCCTTCAGTCCCCAAGCCGACGCTCTATCCATTGAGCCAAACTGCTTTTTATAAAGTTTATCAATTAAGGCATTTGACATTTGTTTTTTTGGCTTGGGGCAAAAATGCCTTAATAATATTCTGTTTGCTCTTCTAGTGCCCAGTTATTTTTCTTGGTGGCTTTCTTAAATAAGATAGGCTTGTAGGACTTAAAAACAATAATTAAGCCCTAGCTGGTTTGACGCAGTGGATAGAGCGTTGGCATGTGGACTAAAGGGTCCCAGGGTCCCAGGTTCCATTCTGGTCAAGGCCACATGCCTGGGTTGCAGGCTCAATTCCTAGTAGGGGACATGCAGGAGGCAGCCAATCAGTGATTCTCTCTCATTGATGTTTCTATCTCTCTCTCCCTTCCTCTCTGAAATAAAAAAATATATATTTAAAAAATAATAATAATTAGATCAAGCCCGACTGTTGTTGCTCAGTGGTTGAGCATCGACCTATGAACTAGGAGGTCATGGCTCAATTACCAATTAGGGCACATGCCCGGGTTGTGGGCTTGATTCCTAGTTGGGGGTGTGCAAGAGGCAGCTGATTGATGATGTTTCTATCTTTCTCTCCCTCTCCTTTTCTCTCTGAAATCAATAAAAATACATTTAAAAAAATTTTAAAGGAATTAGATCAAGATTTTACATGAGAAGAAAACTATTCTTAGTCTTTTAGAATTATTACCAGAGCTGATACATTCCAAAAGTGTTTGTTATTTCATTTAGGACAATAAAAAATTTTCTTGTGGAGGGACCATTTGGCTCACAGTTGTAAACTTAGTGCACTTTTTTACTTCGAAGGAAATATATTTCAAATGTGTGTGTATACATGTGTGTGTATGAATGTGTGTCTATATAGTTTATCTTGTTTTTAGCTGTAAAATACATAGAATATTAAATTTATCACCTCAGCCCTGGTCGGGTAGTTCATACATTGAAATAGTACTTAGTGGTGTTTTAATATAATTTTATATATTCCTATATAATTTAAGAGTACAAAAATAGTCTTTTATGTTTCCCCAGAATTTTACCATTTCTTTTGCTCTTTATTTATTCCTGAAGTTTCATGCTTACTTTTTACTATGTACTTCATTCAGCCTGAAGAACTTCCTTTAGCACTTCTTTTAGAACATGGCTACAAATTTTCTTTCAACAATGAATGTTTTCTTTAATTGCTGAAGGATAATTTCAGTGTGTTGAGAGTCTTTCAGTGCTTTAATGATGCTAATAAAGTGGCTTCTGACTGTCATAGTTTCTGATGAGTAATCTGTAATCATGCAAATATGTAATATGTTGTTTTCCTCGTACAGCTTTTAATATTTTTTCTTGTCTATTTCTTACCAAATTTGTGAAGTCTGGGTCCATTATTTCTTGAAATATTTGTTCTGCTTTAATCTCATTCTCTTTTCTTCTCAAGCTCCAAAGGTGCAACTGTGAGAACTTTGATAATTGTTCTTACAGGTCCCCAAGGCTCTGTTCTCTCTCTTTTCTTTCCCCTCCCCTCCCCTCCCCTCCCCTCCCCTCCCCTCCCCTCCCCTCCCCTCCCTTCCCTTCACTTTATTGATTTTTTTTTACAGAGTGGAAGGGAGAGGGATAGAGAGTTAGAAACATTATTGATGAGAGAGAAACAATGATCAGCTGCCTCCTGTATACCCCATACTAGGGATGTGCCTGCAACTAAGGTACAGGCCCTTGACTGGAATCAAACCTGGGACCCTTCAGTCACAGGCTGATGCTGTATCCACTGAGCCAAACCAGTCAGGGCTTTCTTTCTTTAAATATATATTTTTATTGATTTCAGAGAGGAGATGGGAAGGAGTGAGATAGAAACATCAATGATGAGAAACAATGATTGGCTGTCTCCTGCACAACCTATACTGGGGATCGAGCCTGCAACCTGGGCATATGCTCCGACCGGGAATTGAACCGGTGACCTCCTGATTCCTGGGTCGACGTTTAACTGATGAGCCACACTTTACTGGGCTCTCTCTTTTTTATAGAAAAGGAAACTTTTTATTAACATTTTCCAAACAATCTATATGCTTATCACTCATTCTTAGTTGGAGCATGTGTGACCACATTGACACAAAAAGCTTTGGATAATAGAAACACAAGGCGGGGATCAGGACTTAGGGAAGGGAGCAGGGAGGAAGAAAATGATGCATCACCTTCTACAGTAGATTTACTTTGTCTCAAAGATAGAGATCTCAGACTACAGAAGTTGCATGTAATTTGTGCTGGACTGCATCTTCTCATGTGACAGTATTTTCTTTCAATCTGCGGTTCTTCTGTAGACTATCAATAGAGATTACAGAGCAATCCTGTCCAATAGAACTTTCTGTGATAATGGCAATATTTCTCTGCTCTATCCTACACTGTAGCTTCTAGCCACATGTAACTGTTGATAATTTTTTTTTTAAAATATGTTTTTGTGGGTTTTTTTTGAGAGAGGAAAGGAGAAAAATGAAGACATAGAAACATCAATGAGAAAAACATCATTGATTGGCTGCCTTCTGCATGTCCCCTCTGGGGATTGAGCCTGCAATCCAGGCATGTGCCCTGGCCTGGAATCCAACTCAGCTCAACCACTGAGTCACACTGGCTCACTCATTTTAAATATGGCTACAGAGGAATTTTATTTTTAGTTTTATTTAATTTTAATTAAATTTAAGTATTTTAATAAAAGTTTTATTTATTTCAGAGAGGAAGGAGAGGGAGAGACAGAAACATCGATGATGGAGAATCATTGATCAGCTGCATTTTGCATGGCCCCCACTGGGGCTTGAGCCTGAAACCCAGGCATGTGCCCTGACCGGGAATTAAACTGTGACCTCCTTGCTCATCGGCTGCCACTCAACCACTGGCCACACCGGCTGGGCAAATTTAAGTATTAATAGTCATATATAATCAGTTGCTGACATGTTGAACAGGGCCATTTATAATACCTCCTTGATTGACTTCATCTCACAGCCATATGCAGAATTCAAGTGCCCCTTACAAATCGTTTGCTGAATGATTTTAAAGTTTTATGGCAGCCCTCGCCCCAAAACCAGACAATTCAATTCCTTCCTGTATGTTCATGTTGCCTTTTAAGCTGGTGCCCCAGCACTGGAGCTCAAAGCAAGAAAGTCTCTGAGGGCCCTTTAAGAGGAACCCCTAGGACTCCAACAGCTCTCTTTCTTACTCAGCCATAATCCCTGCTGGTTTTCAAAGCCAGAAGTTATGGGGACTTCTCTTTCTGGCTCTGGAATCCTGGGCTGGAGGGCATGGTTTGGAGCTGGGATTCCTCATTCTTCAAAGGGGACCTCACAGCTGAGATGCCCTTCCCCATTTTTTTTTCTTCAATTTATTTTATTTTTATTTAACTTTTTTATTGATTAAGCTATCACATATTTGTCCTCAACCCCCCCATTTCAATCTCCCACCCCTTCCCACTCATGCCACCACCCTCCTATTGTCCTTGACCACTGGTTAGGCTCATATGTATGCATATAAGTCCTTTGTTGATCTCTCCCTTTTATTCCCACCCTCCCTCTGAGGTCCAACAGTCTGATCCATGGCTCCTAATCTCGGTCTGTTCTTGTTCACCAGTCTATGTTGTTCACCTTTTCCCCTAGATGAGTGAGATCATGTCCTACTGGAAATATAAGAATCAAAAATGAGACAAGCAATAATGGTTATGCTGAGAGGCATATGAATCAGTCTGTAATGAGTTTCTTTCTGGGCCAACAGTTCTTTTGAGACCCAATTTCAATGTCAAACAGTTCCTTCTGTGTATATGTCAGCAATGATATTTCAGTTCTGGGTGGTGGACAAATGGTGGTAATGCAGGTCCGACCCTCTGTGGTTTGGTCCTGGGCAACCTGCAGTGACACACAGCTACTGACTGCTATTATGGCAAGGCGTCGTCAGCA